TTGTTACCCAGGCTGGAGTGCAATGGCGCGATCTCGGCTCACCGCAGCCTCCGCCTCCTGGGTTCAGGCAATTCTCCTGCCTCAGCCTCCTGAGTAGCTGGGACTACAGGCACGCGCCACCATGCCCAGCTAATTTTTTTTTGTAGTTTTAGTAGAGACGGGGTTTCACCATGTTGACCAGGATGGTCTCGATCTCTTGACCTCGTGATCCACCCGCCTCGGCCTCCCAAAGTGCTGGGATTACAGGCTTGAGCCACCGCGCCCGGCCAAATTTTTTATTTTTGTGGGTGGATATTCTACTTAAGCTTTACACACAGATCTTGGTCCACTTTGTGTGCAGTGATTCCAGTAAGAGTTTGATTTTGGTTTTACTGAAGCTTCTGGGATTCCCTGATACTGCCATATGAAAGGACAGATGAGATTTCTCTAGCTGCCTCCATGTTAGGGAGATGGAGCTGGAGAAGAAGGGAACTTCTTAGAAGCCCAGGTCTTTCTTGCATCAGGAGCCATCCTGCTGTGGGGCAGCCAGTGTTTCCAGGCCAGGTCACTTGTCATTGTGGAATACCCTTTTCCCTGTCTCCTGGGTGCTTGTTGTGGTTCCTCTACCCCCAGGGGAAGAACAAGCATTTCCCTGGCTGTTTATTATCAGTGGCATCCCAGCTGATCCCCCTTGTTGGTGTTTCAGGACCAGTGTGGTTTGTTGGAAGGACTCCTGGTCTCTCCAGAGAGGCAGCCCAGCTAGGCTGCCTTCTGTCGCTAGAATGTTAGAAATGTGAGGTCTTTTGGGTGGAGGTTTTAATGTGTGTATGTGTGTGGTGTGTGCATTCTCTATTTGTAGTTTTAAAATATTTTACAGATCTTCTAAATTTGTTGCATTAATAATGTTATTCAGATATCTATATGCATTTTTTGACTGGTATAGCTGGTATTTATTGAGTATTTACTATGTGCAAGGCCTGGTGCCAAGATATTGGAATACTAATTTATCTTAATACTTAGAAGAATTTCTACCCCTATTTTTCCAGAAGACTGAAGCTGAGAGTTCAAGGTTTTTCTGTTTGCTGTGCTGACTATTTATCAGCTCCTGTGCCACTGTGAGGGTCTCCTAGTGACCCTAGGCAGATGTAGTTAGTCCCTCAAAGCCTCCTTAAACATTGTCTCTTTGGCATTTAGACTATTTTCAGTATTAAATATAATAATATTGCAATAGACATATTCATGGAAATAGCTTTATATTTTATTTAAACTATTTCCTTAGGATAGAGTTCTTTTATCTTGAGAGAGAAAAGCATGTACATTTTTTATGGATCAGTGACTGCATTTTTCTGATACCCAAATTATTTTATATAACTCTTATGCCAGTGTACTCTGCCAGCAGCAATAAATGAAAAAATGTACCAATTTTATTTTATCCTCAGTAGTGCTGGGTACCACAAAACAAATAAGTATTAGTTGGGAATCCATTTTTGAGGAAGAAATGTGGGCAAGCGTTGTTAATTTGGTCAGTATGTACGGGGGACATATACTGTACCCAGCAGTGAGCCCAACACTGGGGAGACAGTAGCAGGTAGCTCCTGGATGGATAGAGTCAAGGAGAGAGGTCTCAGAAGACTCACCTGTGATGTGAAGGCATTGGAACTTTTCATTTTAGTAAGGAAGGCCTGCAGGTAGATCTTTGCTCTGGTGGCCACGTCATATACAATTTTTGTTAATGTCCTTGTTGGAGCTGAATATCACAGCTGAATAAGAGACATACCCAAATATTCTTCATTTTGCAGGCTAATTACACCTTTTATATTGTGGACAAGCTAAAAACTTTATCAGAAACACTGCTGGAAATGTCCAGCCTTTTCCAGAGAAGTGGAAGTGGCCAGATGTTCAGCCAGCTGCAGGTGAGTGGTTGGTCTTCGCCCCGAGGGATGGGGAGCTGCTGCTAGGGTATGTTTGAGACATCGGGGCAGTCCTGTAGAGGATTCTGCAGAGTCACATCAGGCATGGTGGTTCTAGTTGATTCATCTAATTGACATAAAATTAGAGATGTCTGAAAATTTTTTGTAACTTTTCAGTATTTTACCTATGCAGGATGGTATAATTGTGAGAATAATTAATAATTTGTTAATAGTAACCTGTTCTTTAAATTGTCTATTAAACTTAATGCTTTTTAGATTGTTTGTATACTTTTGAATTGTAGGTCTATTCAATGATTAATGATCATTTTCTCCTATTCTGTACTGACAACCTAATATTTTAAAAAGAAATGACTTGCAGTTTAGAATGACCCAACTCCATTAGAGCCTGACAATCATTAATTGTCAAACTTTAATTCAGGTGGATCACCTAATAATTTTTTGGGCATTTGTGTAGCTTCAACTTACCTAAACTCTGATACGATGAGAAAACATGCCTGCATTTTAATTCATGTTTGGTTTATTTATTAACCACCAGGTGGGTAGTTCAGAATACAGACTCAGGAGCTAGAATCATTTGAGTTTGATTCCCAGCTCAACTCCCGACCGGTTGTATGATCTTGGATGAGTCACTGAAATTCTCTGTGCCTTGGGTTTCTTCCCTGAGAAATGAGGAAGTGATAGTACTTATGAGGTATAAATGGGTCCGGATACATAGAGCACTTGGAATAGGTTTTGACACAGATAAAATGGTACTGTGTGTGTCTAGGTTTTCCAAGAAGCAGATGCTTAGATGGGATTACATGTGCAAGAATTTGATCTTGGGAAATGGCTGCAGAGCAAAGGAAGGGGAAGCTCAGACAAGCTGAAAGCAAAGTTGTCAATGGTGATGCAAGTCTGACCCTGAGGAAAGGAGAGAGAGAGAGGGTCGAGTGGAAGCATCTTGGTGGGTCCTGCGATTTAATGGACATCAGACAAGGCTGAGAGCGAGTCACAGAGCTAAAGTCGGTTATCAAGGGAGGGGTCCCATGTCAGTGGAGTCCTGTGGCTCCTGGGAGTGGTCCTGATGTGGTGATCATTGTTGAGGGACACCCCATGGAAGGTGTGACCTCAGGGCAAAGTGCCATAGATTCAGAGTGCAGCAGTGGGCCCTGCCATTTCCATTTCCTGCAGTTGGAGTCTGTGATGTTCATTCTCACAGCGGCCCATGACCATATGTGTTAGTTAGTATTGTAGTCTTTAATTTGTTTGCACATGGACTAATTTGTTAATACAGATATCAGCAAACCTTTGCAGTTAATGGGCCACATAGTGTTTTAGACTAGATAAAGTCTCTGCTGCGACTGTGTGTAATCCCACTCAATATTATAAATGCCAAGTTGAGAATGTACAAATTTCTTGGAGAACATAAAACAGAGCCTATCTTGGCCTCAAAAACTGGGCAGCTGTTGTGAAGTCTATGGTGTACCTGAGTACTATTTACTAAGTAGCCATGTCAGAAATCAAAGTCACGTATTCCACCAGGTGAAGAACTTATCTTCCATAGGATAAGATAGTACAAGGTGTTCCTCTGTTTCTTAACTTTGGGATCATGCTCCGGGGAGCTCACATGCCTTGGGTTTGTAGTAGTCGATGTCTGTGTTCCAGGCTTGGTTCTGCCACTGGATTGAGTGGTTTAGAGCCTCTGGGTAAAGTCCTACCTTTGCTCTGCTTGCCTGCTTCATCAGTAAAAGGCAGCAGTAACCTCGTGGGGATGTTGTTAAGATTAAGTGACATGATGCATAATGAATGTCCGATACACTGACTGGCAAATAGCTAATACCCAGTGAAGGAAGATAAATAAGACTCCAAAAAAGAAAAACAAACACCAAGCTTTCATAATGAAGTCTTGTCATCTGTAGACAAGATTAATTAAAACCATCACATGTAATAAAGTGAATGTGAAAAATAAAGGAGCTAATTACAAAGGGTACATATTATTTGAGAATTCCCCTCCTGAGTTCCTGTGCTGGAACAAATCTGGATAGCATACAAATATTCTCTAAGAAATTGGCAAATTCCAAAATTAATCCCTAGCTTTGGATCCTGAGGTGGAGCTGGGATGCATCAGTGTTTTTCCCTCTTAGTTTCTTGTTGGTTGTTGTGTGTTGTAAGTAACCTGGAAACCATCATTCTCAGCAAACTGACAGAAGAGCAGAAGATCAAACACCGCATGTTCTCACTCATAGGCGGGTGTTGAACAATGAGAACACAGGGACACAGGGAGGGGAGCACTACACACTGGGGTCAGTTGGGGGGAAATAGGGGAGGGATGGTGGGGGGGTGGGGAGCTGGGGAGAGATAGCAAGGGGAGAGATGCCAGATGTAGGTGATGGGGTGGAAGGCAGCAAATCACACTGCCACGTGTGTGCCTATGCAACAATCTTGCATGTTCTTCACATGTACCCCCAAACCTAAAATGCAATAAAATAAATAAATGGGAAAAAAATAAAAAAGATAAGTATGGAGCAGTGCAGTGCAAGTATGTGCATATCAACAGCAAAATAAAGGAGCAAGATGTCATTATGTTGATGATAAAATCTTGGAGAACTCTCTACAGTAAAACCATTGACAAATGAGGCAAAGTCAGAGTCATCAATAGTAATGAGAGAAGAATAGTACAGATGAAGCAATGAAAGATGCTTCCGAAGATGACGAATAGCCAAACATTGAGAGAGGCTTTGGGAAATTCTGAAATCCTCCCTCAGAGTTTTTGCAATGAGGACTCTTTCTTTATAACTGGCATCTGGGGAAGGCCATACAAAGCAAAGGAAAGAATCTTATAGAAAGTAAAGGATCACCATATAGGTTCGTTAGAAAATTTTGCAAAAAACAAACACTTAATTCAATCTTTGTTTTTAGTATGAATACATAATTACAATGCCAACATAAATTTTCATAATTGTTGATTTTGTCTTTCAAGGTAAGGGCCTAATCAAATGTTATCCTGTTATTGTGGTGTTTTAAAACTTCTTTTAAGTGGATTTAGTTTATGTGTCTTTTTCCTGTGTAATGACATTATGAATAAGTCTAATAAGTATTATTCAATAAGACAAAATAATGCGATTTTTTTAAGCGATGTTATTTTTCTTTAGGAGGCCCTGAGAAACAAATTTGTAAGAAACTTTGTAGAAAACCAGTTGCACATTGATGTAGACAAACTTACTGAAAGACTTCAGACATACGGTAAGTGTGCTGATGGGTATGGTAGCATTCTCCTGCCCAAATGGCTCTGCCACTTGGCAAGTCCTCCTCCTTGGGCCATGACGTTGCTAGGTGACTTCCAGCAAGTCACTTTTCCTCCCTCAGTTTCTATTTTCTTATCTGGACCCTGAAGGGCTTGAACAAAATACACTCCAAAGTTTGTTCATGCCTGAAGTTTTTTGATTCACTGATTCAGGACTTAAGTAGTAAAAAACCTCATTAAAAAGAAAGTTTTCTGATTCAATCACAAGAATTGTGAGTTATGAAACAAGTTTATAAAAGAAATTATTATTATTTTGAGTTAAAAGTAAATTGAAAGTCATTGCATGGGTTTGAAAATGTGAAGCTCAGATAAAAAACATCACCTATCAGTAAACATTTATTGTACCCCTGCAACTGATGGCTCTGTGAATTCATTTAGGTGTTGAACAAACACTTGCTGGACACACAAGGAGAGCCAGTTCTATGAAATAATTCATAGAGGGGCATTTAATATTCCTATTCTGCCATGCAGTGCAGAGAGGAAGATGACCATGCTTACCAACTGTAACACTGTGGCAAAATCAGCTGTCAGGGCTCTGCCAGAGAAGCTTTCAGGAGCCTAACCCAGTTGGTGGGGACCTGGAGTCAGAGGAAAGATGGGTATCATGCTGTTCCAGATCCCTGGCTCCCTCACACTCTGCTTGTGCACGGGAAAGGGTTTTAGATTTGCCTTACATAGGAAAGTTAGAGGAAGACAAGACATTTTATTAAGCAGAATACAATACTTCCCTTTAAAAAAATTTCTAGTGAATATACTACTACTACTTCAGAAAGGTTAATCATATTTTAAAATGTTTCATATTTTAAAAGCATTACATAATCTTTTCAATTAATTAAAACACCTTTAAAAAAAGAAGTAGCACTGGAAAGCTTATAATAGTGTTCCCATCTTCTGTTGCTGGAACCAAGGACTGACATGGTCTGAGAGAGTTCCTGTGTGGACCACAGATGTCTCCTGAGTTTGCATCTACCATGATAATGTCTTGGAGTGTGAATCATACATGACATGAGCCACATTTGTTCAACATGTTGCTGCTTAGCCAGCACTACCTTTGACTATGTTTTCCCACATGTAAACTCGTATTGTAAAATTAAGAGAACGTTCCTCAGAAATTTAGAACTTTTCCCACAAGTGTGTTGGGACACAGAATATGGTCTTCATATGGAATTTTGAGATCTATGAAGTGTGATCCTCTCTTCTTCCTGCTCCCGCCTGAAGCTGGAGACTGAAGACCATCTCATCCAGGTGGGGGAATGTTGGATATTTTCCACCCGACCCTGCACAGCCCTCCAGGAGCAGACACAGTGTGGGGTCAGGCGTTCACAGGTGGCGTGGGGTGGGATTGATCACTGACCGGATGCAAATCTCCTTCTGTAACTCTCTTGCTAACAAATGGCCTCACTTTACCGCACGCACCCTTTAAAATTTATACCTAGGTCATACTCACTTTTCTTCAACATATACCCAGTATCTGGAAACTGAGGTAAAATAACTATTTGGAGAGGTATTGATGCAACTTCTTGGAATGTTTGCCAAATTATGCTGTCATTTTTATTCATTATACAACATTTATTTTATTTTTAATTTTTTGAGCTGGAGTTTTGCTCTTGTTGCCCAGGCTGTAGGGCAATGGCACGATCTTGGCTCACTGCAATGTGCGACTCTTGGATTCAAGTGATTCTCCTGCCTTACCCTCTGAAGTGATTCTCCTCTCTCACCCTCCTGAGTAGCTGGGACTACAGGCGTGTGCCACCATGCCCAGCTAATTTTTGTATTTTTAGTAGAGATGGGGTTTCACCATCTTAGCCAGGCTGGTCTTGAACTTCTGATCTCAGGTGATCCATCCACCTTGGCCTCCCAAAGTGCTAGGATTACAGGTGTGAGCCTCTGCGCTTGGCCTTGTTATAGAATTAAAAAAAATAACCTTTTAGTTTATTACAAAAAGTATATGTGTCTGTTGTAGAAACATTAGAAAATACAAATAAGTCAGAAAAGAAATCCATCTCTAATCTTTCCACCACAGAGAGCTATTGTAAAAGCCTTAGAGTTCTTTTTTAGATAAATTTGTATGTACTTATATGAGCATAGGAATATGTATTTTCACAAAAATGATTATACTGTTCATATAATTTTGTTACTGATTAAAAAATAGGATTACTATAAAAGTTTTTCATATCCATAAATATTGACTGTTACTAAGAAAAAATCCCTTCACCTGTCTCTGCATTCCATTCCACTCCCCAGTGTGAATTTAAACTTAGGAATTTCTTTGGGATTAGTCATTATATATCTAAAACACCTATGGCAGCATTTCTTGATTTGTTTGTTACAGAAATTATCAGTTGACTTCCTGTTCTGAAAGATGCAGATTTCCTTTTATACCACCTCATTTCCCTGATCAGTTCCTCCCACATAGTTTATGATTACGTTAGTTGTCATAAAACATGATGAGGAGATAAATGTCGTTCAGTGCAGAGCCCGGCTATGCATTATAGTGACATTTCCTTATTTACCATGTTTCCCTTTTCCTAGAGTTTCATGCTCCCTTGCGATCGTGAAACACTTGCTCTCCATTGTGCCCATCTCTGTGTGCCAACTCACCATTTTTATGTCAAGTCCTTTTATCTGTGCAGATGCCCATCCAGATCCCCTACTATGCTCCACCTGGAAGGCTGCCTGCTCCTGCTGCTTTCCTAGGAATGCTCTGCTCTGCTCTCCTGGGGTGGATACCACGATTCCTGGGCTCTATGTCCTCCTTTTTGTTTTATTACCATGTTTTTTGGGTTCACATTAATCAGTGTCATCCTGAAAAAGAATGAGAGAAAAAATTCCTGAGTGATTTTACTCAGTAAAGTAAAATTATATCTGAATAATATGTGGAAATATCCCTTATTTCATTACCAATAATTTTGCATCTCTTCTTTCTCCTTTTTGTTTTTAATTAGTCTCCTCAGAGGGTTATTAATTTTTATCAGTCTTAAAAAACCCCACCGTATATGGCCTTGCTTATTTATTTTATGTTTGTTTTGATTTCACTGATTTCTGATCTCTATTAGTTTCATCCTTTTACCCTGTATGTATGTATGTGTGTGTGTGTTTGGCAACTTGTTGAGATGAATACTTAAATTATTGATGGCCACCTTGTCTTCTTTTCATATATCTATATGTCTCTCTCTCTATATATAGATATGAAGTATCTAGTGGTGAGTATATATATATACATATATGTGTATATATATATATATATATATATATATATATATAGATAGATAGATATAGATATAGATAGATAGATACTTCCCTCTGGTATTATCTTAACTGCATCTCACTAGTTTTGATATCTTGTATTTTCACTCTCATTCAATTAAGCATATTTTAAACATGTGGTGTAACTTCCTTTTTTTCACTTTAGGTTATTTGAAAGTCTATAGCTTGATTTCTAAATATTTGGTATTATTTATCTTTGTGTTAATGACTTCCAGCTTTACTTCACAGTGGTCAGAGAATGTACTTTGCCAATACGATTTCATTTATTTGACAGTTCTGGAGACTCACTCAATCCTTGCACACAGGGTCAGTTTCGGTTCTTGCATTGCTGGGTGCTGTCTTGAGTTTCCTCACTGTCTCCTTGTTCTAACAGCTCTTAAGAGGTATGTGTTTACATTTCTCGTTATGATTGTGGGATTCCCTGTTTCTCCTTGAGGTTCTGTCCATTTGGGATTTATATACTTTAACACTGTATTGTATTTTCTATTGAGGACATGTTTGTGATATTTATATTTTCCTTTGTTTGTATTTAAATTATCTTCCTTCTACCCTTTCCCTCCTTCTTTTATTTCTTTATTTCTCTCCAGAAGTTTTTCTGTGACTTAGTTACATGGTTTCTTATGAGAATCCTCTTTTGGCTCTGTGGCATTTCTTGAATTAGTTGCCGAATATCTTACATTTGGGGAAAGTCTTGGCTCCTATCTTCTGAAGCATTGCTTCTGACCACTTCTCCTTCCACTTTCCTCTGCAACACTAGTTAAACACAATGAGAACTTTTCAGTGTCTGATGCTTCTTATATCTTTTTCTTTGTTTTCTGACCTATTTTCTCTTCATGCTTCAGTTTGTGAATTTTTTTCTTACTAGTTTTTTAATCAACAAGTTCTCTCTTCAACTGGGTCTAATCTGCCATTAAACATACCAATAAAGTTCTTCACTTTAGTTATTGTATTTTCCACTTAAAATTTAAATTTTATTATTTTAAAATACTTTAAAATTCTATTTTCATCTAATTTTGGATTAGATGACAGTAGTCACATTTTGGAAGTGCATGTTGTGAGCTTTAATACTTGTCTTTTGAGGGTATTCTTTTTAGTCTATTTTTCTCTTGGTTTTTGGTTTTCTTGTCTTGTCTCCAGGAATATTAAGGATTAACAAAAATGAAATCAGACATTATAAATGGAAAATTGTAGAAATAAATTTGCGACTCCTGATGGTGCTATCCTCCTCTGGATAATATTATTTGCCTGCTTCTGGC